CATTGTCTTGATGGGAAATATTTTCTCTAGAGAACAGCCATTCTTTCTTCTTGATATCCGTGAGCGTTAAAGAACCAGCTGTGAAGACACCATTGTAAGAGTCTTTGTGTCAGCACTTACCATTAATGTCTACTGTAGCTTTAACAATCGGCATGCCACTGCACATGGGTGTAATAAACAAGACATTTGGCTCCCGTAAATGCCAGAGGACCCATACAGCACTTGTGGTATTCGCACCATCCATATTTACCACACTAATGTTGACACAAGGGTTTAACTGACACTTGGACATGTCTATCAAAGTGACAGAGAGAACAACTGTGTTGTCCTTGACAATGAATGGTGCTTCTGGCCTTATTTATCAAAGCATCTTTTATAAGAATGGTTTGTGTTGCCCTACAGCAACCAGTCAGAGTCCAATCAGCACTGTGGAATGACAGATGGAGAAAGAAATTTTGGATTTTAGTGTTGGGTGTAGGCACGTCAGGCAAGTCTTAGTACAGGCAACCAGTGGGGACAAGACTATGGGAGCAACCATTACAAACTAGTTTGAAAGGTCTAGATTTTGGGTCATCATTATACTTGCTTGACCACCTAGGGCAGGAGTGGGCAAACTCGAGCCCTCTTGACACACAGTGGTTGAACTTGATGGAAATGTGTCTTTTTTCAACCTTATCTACTAGGGTTGCACAGATACCAAGTACAGTACTCGGTACAAGTACGAGTACATGTACCGATACTTTAGACCGCCAAGACTACACTAGAGAAAAATTCAAATATTAGGAGGCAGCTGTCATTTGTAAGGAGCACACGGAGCTCCTGGGATTTGTACATCTCTGTTTTAATGTACGATTTTGTTTTTATAAATATAAATAAAGGGATGCACAGATACCAGTTTTGCGAGTACGAGTACTGGTACTTGCCGAGTACTTACAAGTATGAGTACTGATACATTTTTGTTTATTGTCATGTGACAGTTTTTCTAAAACAATACAGACTAATGATTTCAGGGCAGTGGTGGAGTGCCAGAGCCAGGTCCCAGCTGCAACCGCTGCAACCCTGGTAGTTCTCATAAAAATGCCAAGTATCTGCACTGGTACTCGAAAAGTATCTGTGCATCCCTATTATCTACTATATGATTATTTAACCTCTGTCTGTATGCCCACCGAGAAGAAATCTTCTTCTATCCTACATGACCACTCAGGAAGTGATGGATCATAGACTGCAATAATCCATGATGATGTTCTATCTCAGGGGTAGGCAAACTCCAGCCTCTACATTGTTGGTGAAACTACAAATCCATAATGCATCTGTCTCTGGGAGTCATGTCTGTGGCTGTGAGAATCTTGCAATGCCTCATGGGATTTGTAGTTCCACCACAGCTGGAGGGCCGGAGTTTGCTCACCCCTGACCCCTGACCTAGGGAGTCATTGGCCTGAAACAAGTTTGCATCCATCCAGGGAAACGCCAAACTTACATACTTGGCTTTACATCAGGGATTTAGTATGCAGTGAAGCCAAGGAATAAGGACACCAGCTCCAGAATTGTCACGTTTATTAATCAGTTATTAAGTACTGCTCCTGCCAGGGAAAAAGGACACTAGCTGCAGAATTGTCAGGTTTAAGAGCCAGTCATTAAGTCCTGCTACTGGCCGTTCTATAAATAAGATACTTTCTTCTTTTTGCTATCACTCCTACATTGGAAAGGCGCTCAGATTGGGTCCGCCTGTCAGTTTTCCATGCGGCCCCTATCGAATGCCCAATGTTAGTCTATGGGCAGCTGTGTGTAAATAGACAGGCGTCTGTTTACACCCAGTTACCCCCGTCTCTGGCCAGGTCAGGAAAAACAAATGGATCAGAGATATGTTTCACCGGACCTGACCAAGCCGAATCGGGGGTAATCTGATGTAAATGGACACATGTCTGCTTACATCCAATTCCCCATAAATCAACAAGGGGTCCGGCAGTTACAGTTCTTTTGGAGGAAAAAACTGGATGGACACGGATGTCACAGCACTAACATCCGCTCCACACTGCTCTGATCAGGAGGGGATCCATACACGTATCCTCTGCTGATCAGCCCATGTGAAAGGTGCCTAAGTGGGATTAGGAAAATCGGTCAAAGTATCTAATGATAAAACTGTTGCCCCACATCAATCCGCTTCAAGTCTGAAAGTAAATGTCGGAAGCGAAAGCAAGAATCTCTGTGTTTGCTTTGTCGCTAGTTCAAAGACTCTGACATATTAAGCCTAGTGATTTATTTGTAGTCTGTGGAATATATGTTACAGGAAATAGCTAATAAAAAGTGCTACAGGAGACAAGTGCCCTTGTTGTCCACAGCAATTAATCACAATCTGGCATTATTCTGATGGAAGTGCTGTAGGACGTCAACGCTCTTGTTGTCCACAGCACCCAATCACAAGCTGTCATTATTCTGATGGAAGTGCTACAGGACATAACTGCTCTTTTACTCCATAGCAACCTATCGCGAGTTGACATGACTCCCTTTAATGTTTTGTATGCTGTATGGGGCCCTTGAAGGCTTCTTGGCTGTTGTAATAGGTCAGAAGACAGGTCATTTCTTTAGCTAGTTACGACATCCAGTATGTTAAATGGAAGCCAGTCAAAGGCCAGCTTCCATTTTTCCAGGACGTATTTGGAAATAAACGTGAGAATCTTACCGGCTGATAATATCAACGCAGACATTTTAATGCATGAGGCCCATTGCAGCTCTAATGCTGACTGTTAGTTGCTGCAATTGGAATATTGAAAAAAAAATGGCATGTCAGTGCTCCTAAGAACTGTGGACAGTTAAGTGTGAATTAAAAGTAATTATAGAAGTATTGGACATTTTGGGGGATTTCGTGAACCCAGTACTTGTTACAGCTGACAGCCCCAACTAAACACAATTGTGTTGATGTGGATGATTGTAAATTATGTCACTGTGTACGTGGCAGCAGTATATCCTTCAATGATCCAGTCATTGTCTGTAGGTTGATTTATTATAACATGTTCCTCTCTGCACCTTGGGAATGAAGTTCTCGCTATCTATGATAAATGATGGAGGATGTGAACAGAGTAGGGACATTCTGTGGCTGTGCAGTCATTGCTACTGAAGAAAATGTCATATGTCATTGGTGACCCATAAACTGTACTATGTATAATCCCTGATTCATCTTTGTGATCTGTAAATAATGTGCAGTCAACTATATTTGCTATCATTATTTTTTTTAATCAACATATCTATCTATCTATTTCTCTATCTATCTATCTATCTATCTATCTATCTATCTATCTATCTATCTATCTATCTATCTATATACAGTGTGTATATATATATATATATT